TATATATCGATATATTTATATCTATTTATTATATATTATATCTAGATATAGCTAGATATATTCAAGCATATTGATACCTATATATATTCAAATCTATCTATCTATCTTTATAATCCTTCTTTCCATTGGCAAAGGCATGATTTGCAGATTATAGCCCTGGTCTTACCCACTCTTCACTCACCTTATTATTTTGTTTTCTTGGATGCCAACCTGGGCTTACTTTCCATCTACGCTTTTGTTTCTCCTCCTTAGCTGGATACATTTGTGGAAAACTCACAGGGAAACTGAGTTGTGAGGTCTGGTCCATTTTCCTGTTCAGTTAAATAAAAATAATATTTAAAAAACCCAGTCACAAATGTCTGTGTAATAATTCGTGATTGCTGCCCTGAGACTGGTTTCAATATTTCTGAATATTCAGTGCCTGGAAGCTAGCACAAAGTGACTATTGGAAACTGCCAGAAATTTGCTTCCCGTGGTTCTGAATGTGAAAGCAAGAACTTCGGGGCAGCCTCGTGTCTTCCTTTGTGAAGGATCACTTTGGTGAACCATCTCTGTCATGCCCACTTACATTAAGTAACTACTCACTGCCCTTGAGGTAGCTTAGGACTTGGGAGAGTCATCCAAAAGCAAGTACTTTATAATGGAATATTAAATATTCTGTTTAATAATACAAAAGGCTGTCCCGAATGCTGAGGAACATCTCTGCAGAATTTTTTTTCTTTAATGAAGTGTTTAGCATTTCCCCCCGACCAGCCTGGAAATAGGATTTGAGCCTAGTGGGTGGGATCTGGGACTGAGGGAGCGAAGAGATGGGAGAAAGAGCTCCCACTTGCTGATGGGCTGAGGAGGTCAACTCTGTAACTAGACAGGCTAGTGTTTGGGATCTATTTCTGGCAAAAAAGTGGGACCTGCCATAAAGACATTAGTTAATTAGCTTATGAATATCATTGAGCATTCGTTATGCACTCTGAAGGCAATTTGCTGCTTGAAATATTGACTGGAGCTCTGTAGAAAATCCAGGGATAATGCCTTTCCCATCTGACACAGTCCTCTGGCCTTGCCTTATAGCCCCATGGGCAGCCTCCCTTCTGGCCAGTCCCAGATAACAGTCACACTAGTCAGAAGTCTACCTTGCAAGTGACAGTAGTCCCAGAACATAATAGCTTATTTAGAAAGGGGCTTCTTTCCTCTTCTTCACACCCACTGTCTGTATTCTTCTCTCCCATTGTCCTTATTTCTTCACCATGGAAAGAGATTTTATCCATGTTATAGTTTCACACTCGCTGGACTTCATTGCTGCCTAGCTCCTTGACACCAACAGTTCCAAATAGATAAATTCAGGGAAGAACTCTGATTGGCTCAGCCCTGATCACACATTCACTTCTAGCCCAATCACTGCGAGGAGGGTGTTATTGGTGTGATTTGGGTCCTGTGCTCATTTCTGTGGCCAAAAGGGTGAGGTACTGGCCTGATTTCCAACTGCTGGCTCTTACCTCTATGAGTAAGAATTTCTATGGCTCCTAAAGCTCATCTACCCATGAACAAGGCAGGTTGCAAATGCTGAGGAATTTCTGTCTCCCAGTCAACCAATGACTAATGGGAGTTAGTGTATAAATACCGAGGTGCTCCCTTGCTCTGGGGTGACAGAATTCTGAGACATGCACTCCACACCAACATACCAGAATTCCAGAGTGGAATTAAATTCCAGCTCACCAAAGATGCTTCTTGCTTGGTATTACACTCTTTATCTGCTTCTTCCCCTTCCTGTCTCACTCCTCCTGCCCCTGTACCAGTATTTCCTGAGATCACCTCCCATTTATGCTCGCTTGCACGTGAGTCCCTTATCTTAGTGACTTCTTCTGGGGAAACCCAGACTAAGGCAGTTACCATGCTTGGCAGCTGATCCCGTGACTCAGATGAGGATGAAGCAGCATGCCAAAGGAAGGGATGGTCCTCAACACACCGAAACAATAGCTGTCCACTAGAGAAATATATCATGAGAAAAAGCACAGAACAGCAAACAATGAGAACATGCAGTAAGCCACTTCCAACTGGACCAGCATTTGGGCACACACCGTGTCTGGCCTGACGTGCCCAGACCTCCCAGAGAAGCAGACAGACCTCCCCAGCAGGTTGCTCTGGAGAGGAAAATGTCAGAGGATCTCGAGGTCCAGGGTACAGTGAAAGCTGTACCTTCTGCAATATCTTTTCCACTATCAATTCATTAATCGTCAACTTCTCCTGCTCCAGCTGAATCTTAGTCAAAAGCTCTCATGGGAGAAGGCTCTGCCTGCCTCCTCAGATGCTGGCCAGGGGCTGGGTACTTGGCTTATGTCTGGTGACATTTCCATTAGGCAGCTGGGCTGGTATGATGGCCGGTGCATGTGCAGTGATAAAAATACTCTCCTTATCTCTGTGTCTCAGCTGTGGAATCCCTGCCTCTTTCCATCTGGGTTATTGGTTTCTAATGCCTGGCTATTCCATGCATGTCATGTGTTGAATTGTCTAGAAGCAGCACTTAAGAGGGGGGTTCAGGTCATGAAACTCGAAAGAGAGCCCATCAGGTAACACACACACACATGCACACAACCCCCTCTAAAGTGAGGAAAACAAAATATTAAAGATAAAAGAGCTACACATGAGGATCTCAGTCTCAGATAAAAGCCTAGATCCAGGGTTGTCAAACATCAGCCCTTGGACCAAATTAGTCACCACCTATGTGGTTTTAAATAAACTTTTATTGGCACACAGCCACACCCATCATTTACATAATGTTTATTCTGCTTTCTGGCTGCAAGGGCAGAGTTGAGTAGTAACCGGATGGCAAAGCCTACACTATTTACAATCTGGCCCTTGTAAACCCTGCTCTAAACATGTCCCAACCCATGGGAGCTCAGTGGTATCCATTGCTCCATAATTCATCCCCACCTTGAGACAAGGGGCTGGTCTCTGTACCTTAGTGGCAGCCAGACATTGGTCGTCGACCACCAGGTGGTGAGGGCAAGATGCATTAAGCACACTAAGCCTGTCAGCCCAGAGAGCAACTCCCCAGACACTAGGAACAGCTCTGAGCTGTTAACTGCTGACACAGCCCCTGGGAAATGGGCGCACGTGTTGGGAATCTTTCGAGGCACCAACCGCATCTCCTGCCATGTTTGTCTGGATCTGCACATGTGCTTCATGATGTTGGAGAGAACCCATTATTTCCTGCCTGAAACAGCCATAATGATGTCCCCTAGACTCCTGTCCCCCAATCCACTCTTGCCCCCTGTCCATCCATCTCTTGCTCTCAGAGTGAAGATGGGAAAACTTCACAAGATCTACTGGGTCCTGCCAGCCTCCCAGCCCCACCTTGTCCCACTTCCGTCCCACTCTGCTCTCCAGCCGTGCCTGGCTGATGGCTGGGAAGTGCTCTTTCAGTTTTGAGGATACACTGTTCCCTCCAGCTACTCAGGATGTTCATCCTTGCTGCTTCCGCTGCCTGGAGCGCCCTCCTCAGCACCTTCTACTTTCCCCCACGTAACTGACATCCAGATCTCCAGGTCTCAACTCAAAGAGTATTTCCTCGGAGAAACCACTCAAGACTCTCTCCCCATGAATCTCATTTCCCATAAGTAGCCAGTATTCTATTTGTGTGTCTTGGAAGTATTTTTTTTTCTTTCCAAACTATTGCACAAAAATATGCATAGATTTTCTTTTCTTTAACAAAAATGCTATATTGTTCTCTTTGCTTTGACATTTTCTTTTTTCCCCTTAACAATATAAAACCATAAGAATCTATCCAGTTTGACATGGGTAGAGTTAAGTGATTTTTAACTTATTTTTTTTTCTAATGGATGAATAATATCCTATCATATGTATGTATATATTATGTACATAATATGGATATACAATAATTTATTTAAGAATTTTGTGAGCATGGATTATGTTCTAGCTCCTAAGTTGGATGGTGGGTGAATAACTTACATATATGTGTACATATATTTATTATGTATCAGTTTTACATAATTAAATTTAAGCAGTGAATAGGAATAAGAGAATGAACAGGCTCAAAAGTGATAAAAGAAATGGATATTAAAATTAGAAAAAGAATTTCCATATTGGTAGGAGTTCAGACTATTTCTCTATGTGTGTGTGTGTGTGTGTTTAAACCTTACAAACTGTATAAAGAATGTCTGAACAAATATTTTTACATTTGATGCTTATATTTCTGAAGGCTCAATCCCTAGAAATGGTATTATTTGGTCAACATACACAAGCGCTTTAAATTTCAATACTCACTCCCAGATTCCTTCCTGCAAATAAAGCAAATCACATGTCTACCATTAGTTTATGAGACTGCCCAGTTTCCAGCATCTTTGCCAGCATTGGTGACTTTCAATCTTTTCGATTTTTTGCCAATCTCTTGACAAGGGAATGGCTTCTCATTGGTGTTCTGACTTGCGTCTCCTTGACTATTATTGAAGTTGGTCGTCTCTTTATTTATATATTGTTTTCATAATAAAAAATAGCCCCTACAGGCCCTGGCCAGGTAGCTCAGTTGATTAGAGCGTCATCCTGATACACCAAGGTTACTGGTTGGATCCCCGGTCAGGGCACATGCAAGAAGCAATCAATGAATGCATAAATAAGTGGAACAATGAATCTCTCTCTCTCTCTTTCTCTTTCTCTCTCTCTCTCTCTCTCTCCTTCTCCCCTTTCTCTCTCTCTCTCAAATCAATTAAAAACAAATCCCTACAATGATAGGACTTTGTGTTGATTTAGGATAGAGGTGGAGACTTTCTGGGCACATCCTTTGCCTTTACCCATCTGTCCTCACCTGCTCTCCAATGAAGACTGTGTTTAATTTTTCCTGATGCGTCTGCACATCCTCTGCTGTTCTTTCTCTCAAGTCTCCGAAGGGTCAGGAGTTTTGGTCTCCATGAATATGGCAATATGGTGGGGGTGGCAGAAGGACCTGCACAGCCTGTGACCATCTCCCTCTGTGTCTTCATCCCCAGATCCGACCCAGATGAACAACGCAGTGCCCACCTCCCCGCTGCTGCAGCAGATGGGCCATCCACATTCGTACCCCAGCCTGGGCCAGATCTCCAACCCCTATGAACAGCAGCCTCCTGGCAAAGAGCTCAACAAGTATGCCTCCTTGAAGGCCGTCGGTAAGTGTCGTTCCTTTTTTTCCCCTCTTCTCCCTTCTCTACTTTTCTGTTCCTTCCAGATCTCTCTTTTTCCAACCTTTTTCTATCTTTTGAATCTCTGTCTTTCGTCATCTATCATCACTCGAAATCTTCGTCTCTTCATTTCTCTTTCTTCTATCTATCTACCTGTCTATCTGTTCTGGGTCTCTCTACCTGAGATACAATTTACTAAGGACCAGAGCCCCTCAGCTGCTTTCTGTCTAACCCAGGTCAAGTCCTACCTTGCTATGTGGGGAGAATGGGTGGGCAAAGGGCACATGTTGGGCTGTTTCCTGGGGAGGGGAATCTGTGTACTCATTTGGTCCCACTGACACCTCAGCTCTGCATCATCCACCATCTGCCCTGGTGAATCCTCAGGGAATCTTGACATAGAATCCAGGACACTGAGCCTCTGAATGCCTTGCCCTTCAGTGGGTGGCACTCATCACCCACACAATTATCCCCTGACTGAGAAGTGGGTAAGAATAGCATCCTTATCCTGGGAAGGTTCTGCTCTTCAGGATGTAAGTACTTCCTGATGGAGCTACTACTAACTGAGCTCTTATCAAGTGTGAAGCACCACATTGGGCCTTTTATACATTCTCATTTTCTCACAGTGATCCAAAGAGGGAGGCACAGTTATTGTTCCAATTTTTAGATTAGGAAACTAAGACTCTAGGAGGCTAATTTAACTGGCCCCAGAACAAGCAGCCTTGGGGGCAGAGCTGAGACTTGAACATGTGTTTTTATTACGCTGGAGCCTATGCTCCTGCCACTACCCTCCCCTGGCCCTGGTCCTCCTTCAGCCCATCCCCCACTTGTACACAAGGGAATGTGACAGTGACCCGGGATCCTCAAGAACATACTCATTGCAGTATTCTATTGGATGGAAGCAACAACACAGCTAAGTCAGACTTTGGGCAAACAGAAGGCCCACAGACCATGTGCTTTCTTATATTATCAGCTTCTCACCCTCTCTCCTTCTCCCACTGCCCGGCCCCTCAATAAAGATGGGTTGGGAGACACTTGCTGGTTGATTCCAGTATGAAATATCTTAATTCCATTATACACTCACACCAGAAACCCAAGCACAGACACCATCACCTGTCCATGATGCTTGCGGTTGCCATGGTCTACACACATCAGACTCACAAAACAACCATATGGGTGCGCAGCAGAGAGCCAGGCACATACTAGGAGCTTAGTATAAGTTTGAACCAGAACTCTATCTTTAGGGATTCATGTTCCCTGATCTTTTAGGACTTCCAGATGGAACCATGCAGAGAGGGGTTGAGCCAGATTTATAATACCAAGGACACAGGTTGTGCAGACTGACACAGGCTTTTCTAAATCCGAGGCTTCATAAGACCTTCCGTACCAGTCCCGTAGGTTTCATGTTGAATTTCTACCCCCAACTCAACCCCCATATTCACCCCATGACCACAGATTCCCCTATTCTATAGTGCATGTTTGCATAGCATATGCATTTTAAGCATGTTCAAATAGACTCAGATATTACTAGGAAGGAATGAGGGCTGTTGCCTAGGAGAGAAAGTCAGGGCATCTGTGCCGATGTAACTATGGAAGACTCATGTGCTATTTGATGGCTGCCTCCCTTTCTGAGCCTTGCATCTCAGTAATAAATAGTGTCTGCTCTTATATTTGATTCTCCTTTTGGCACTAAAAATAAAAAAAAAGAAAAAGAAAAAAGAAAAAGTCTAGATGAGATGCTTTTTCTTTACGAACTGATCACATTACCCTGAACAATTCATTTCTTCCACTTAGGCCCAATGTCTCAAAACCCAATAGTTCTTTGGGTGAATAATGGATGGATATTACACAGAATTCTTTTATTCTGGAGTTCAGGATTCACGCAGGGCCCTGTGCAGAGCAAACGTCTGCTGTGCAGTTGGAATTAAATCTGCAGTATTTGACACCCTTTGAGTAACCCTTTCTTCCACAAAGGAAGAACTCCTGAAATGTTTGCTGAATGAATGAATGAGCTTGTCTTTGACAAGAATCAAATAATAGCTTAGTAGGAAAGGACCGGCACCTCCATATCTTCTAAAAACTGTGAAGGATCTCACTTGGGGAACACACCTCAATCCTGGATATGGTGAATGTGCCCCTCTTCCTTCTTCTCCGACTGTTGTGGGAGTTCACAGTCTATCTGAGTTACAGATGGTCTTGTGAATCTCTAGTGGGCGGAGCTTCAGTGAGGAGCTGACTGAGGGACAGCCTGACGCAATGGGTCACCCAGGAGCCCAGCGTCTGCCTGCACAAATGACATGCAAATCCCATAATTAAAGTTCTTTCAAGGGTTCTTTATTGTCATAATGTGACCATGGTGTGAATGATGGAATGCATTTCATTATTGAAATCATTACTGCCCGGGAAGGAAGTTATTTAAAAAATGGCTTGCTGTTAAAAGCTCGGCAACCTCTGATAACCAGATTCCTTTTATAAAAGCTTCAATGCAGTAAATAAGGGGAGCCTTGGAGAGCTTTTAGGGTTAACTGCCAAGTTTAAAAATACCCCCGAAAAATTAATTTCTCCTTGTGGCTTTAATATCCAGAACATCAGGTGGGTTTGGGGTGGTCACTGAAACTTTCTGACCCAAGTTTCTTTATTTGAAAAATAAGGAAGCTGAATGATATGGACTCCAAACTCCACTCTAATTTTAAAATTAGAAAATCAAGCATTTCCATTCATCTAGTTATTAGAATATCTGTGGGCCATTAAATTGTACCATTCATTGACCTCCAAATCTGGGGAGAAGAGGGCGGTAACTGTTGTTTGTTCCTCTTATTTAATTTTAATTTTTTTTTTTTTGTTTGCTCGATGAAACCACACTCATTCATGTTTAAAGAGAGGTCTTTTCTCTCTACAGTTCAGGAACTTGGACACGTCACATTTGCTTTTATATAGCATGTGACCACAGAACCCCTTTCCAAGGGGTTCACTGCCCAATTATTGGTTAAAGACTACCACACACTAGAGAAATGTCACAGGCTAAACCCCATAAGACTCTGTACAACAATGAGCAATGGATTAACTTATCATTTTTTCAGTTCATTCATTCATTCAATCAATCATTCATTCCCCAAACATTTAATCTGCTGTCCCTTTTTTGTTGGGGTATGAACCAAATTTGCCCCATTCATCAACATATCTCCAGCATCTAGCACCATGTGGGGAAATTGATATGTGATCCCAACATATATTTGTAAAACTGGTTAATAATACCATATGATAGGCACCACATGAGGTGATGAGCAAGGTGGCGGAATGTCGCATGGCCTCTGCAACTGGTCAGGACTGAGTTTAAGATCTAGTTCAGACATTTATCAAGTAATTGAAGAAATTACTTACCCCCCTCAGGTCTCAGTTTTTCCATCTGGAGATAATAAAAGTACACAGTTAATGGTTTGTTGGAAACATTGAATAATATAGTGCACAGAAAGTGCTTGACCTGGTCTATAGTCAGTCTTCAGTGAATTGTGCCACACATCTAAGTCTCTAGACCAGAATTGTTTGTTGCTCATATTTTCCCTTGAGTCTCCAAGATATGCTGGTACCTTAATGAGCATACAGTTGCCCAGAGTGCACTTTAAAGGAAATAGATCGTTAGATCCATATCCTTCACTCCAGTTGGATGGGAAAGACTCACGTGAAAGCTAACTCACTTTGGAAACCTCATAAAGCAAACAAGCAAGTAAGCAAACAGCAGATGACTTTTCAGAGGACCAGCAAAGAGGTGGCCCAAAGGTCTTCATTCTCCCCATCTAGTTCCCAGACAACAAAGATCCATGCCTCGATGAATGGCTATGGTCTATCAAAGAATGGTTCCATTTCACTCCATTAACCCTCCTTACTAAGTCAGAAATGTGGGTTCAAACAGTTTAGAAATATTTTCCTCAAGATTGAAGTCAAGAAGTGTGTTTTGTGACAGACTGAGCCAAAATGTCACCTAAAAATGTAGTTAAGCACGCAAGTTCTCTGGCCTGAGCCACCTGTGTGAGGGGTGGTGACAATGTGAAGACTCACTTTATGGTTCTTCACCGGTCAATGTTTACAAGACAGAATTGTTTGTCGAAATATCCCTGAACATCACCTGATAGTTCTGTGAGGGGTGAATCCTGCCTCCAGAGGTGGCAAAAGACCCTTCTATGTACCTCCTGATGGGCTTTGCAAACAGAAAATTTCCCCCCACATTAGCATTGATCTCCCATGGGCTCCAAGTCTAGTTTTCCCTTTAGGTGTCTGAGTATTTAAATCCTTGGTCACCAAAGCTTCCCGAGCCCTAAGATGCTTCCGCAGAACTTCGGTTACCTAGTGAGAGAGACAGGCTGCACCAGCATGATTGATAAAGTGCTGCGGTGCCTATGTTTTTAATTCAGAATTTTAATAAGAAAATATTTTCTCTGTTGCTGTTTGACAGATGATGGACTGTTTTTGCTGGAACCTTGTTACATTTTCTAATAGCACTTCTTAAAAACACAGCCACAGTGTACTTAGACATGGCGGGAATTCCGTCTTCACTTTTTTTTCCCATTGGTGTGAAAACCCTAAATGATACATAAGAACCTCAACCATGAATTGACCTCTGCTAGTTTATTTATTTATTTTTTAAGTTATGGCAGAAAGGGAGCTAGCATAATTGAACTCTCAAACAGTACACTTCTGTGTTCGTTCCAATGTTTTGCAGATGGGGAAAGTGAGGCTCAGTATAGTTAAGTAATTTTCCCAAAGTCACACTTTTGGTAGGTGACAGAGACAAGAGTCATATTCAGGACTGCCTGATTCAGAATCCTATGGTCTTTCCACGAAATGACACTGTTTTCCAGAGAGCAATTTCTGGCATCAGAAGGATGTAGCCAGGCCCTCCCCCCCACCCCCCAAAAAATGGAGGAGGCCCATTCTCTTCTTGTAGGGGAGGACCTAGTAAGGTAATAATTGTTTATCATTATTTGAAGGCAAAAGTTTTCCCACGAGACTGAGTATCATTGAGATATAACATATTTAAGATATACTATAGTTAAAGTATAAGTTACACTTAGTGAAATACACAGATCACAATTTTCCAATAGTGTGATTACTGAAATATACACACACTAAGCCCAGGCCGGGTAGCTCAGTTGGTTTGAGCATTGTCCCAATAAACCAAGGTTGTGGGTCTGATCTCCGCTCAGGGCACATACCAGAAACAACCAATGAATGCATCAATAAGTGGAACAACAAGTCTCTCTCTCTCTCTCTCTCTCTCTCTCTCTCTCTCTCTCTCTTCCTTTCTGTCTCTAAGAATAAAAATCAATTTAAAAAAAAATAAATAAATATATATATACCAGGGTAACCAACGTCCCAGTGAGGATAAGAAATATTTCCATTTCCCGGAAAGTACCCTCATGTCCCCTTCTTCTCAATGCCTTAGGCCCATCCCTTTTAAAATAAGAATTTACTTTTTCACCCCCCAAATACTTATGTAATGTCTACTAGTGCCACCAAGTGCACAGTGAAACCGTAACTAGGTGTTTTGATAGCCTACATGCCATGTGATTAAGTGCCCTTATTAGCAATGGATTTATGGAACAAAACTGGTCCCTGCCTTGCGGGAGCGAAGCCCCGTCTTGGGCAGTGGGGGCAGAGGTGACTGCAGCAGGTTCCTGCCTTCACGGCCCACAGTGATGGATTTGACCCGGGGTGAAAGGGTTTCCCTGAAGTCTGTGACTCAGTGAATTGGTCAGGCTTCTGTCCACCCGCACAGGAAGATGGGGGCCACGGAACTATTTCCAGATGTCAGCGACCCTGGCTCAGAGGGAGAAGAGACATGAAGTCGTCCAGGCGGGGCCCACTTAATTTTAACGTCACTCCAATTTCCCCGCTGTCGTGAGTGATGAGGGGGACGTGGCCATGGGAGTGTCCTTCGGCACGCAGGAGAGGCTGACCGGAACCGTTTAAATGGGGCCGGATGTGTGCTCTGCAATCATTCGGATCGCAGACTGTTTGTTCCCGGCCTCTCCTCCCAGCTGGCAGCCTGGTGTATCTCAGGACACTGTGCAGAAACCTGGAGAACTTGGTCTTTCCAGGTAGACTCCGGAGAAAGCAAAGGGGGCTGGTGGCGCACGCTGATTGGTCGGACCTGCAGCCAATGGGCGGAGGGTGCTGCAGACACACGTGGGCAGGTTTGCCCAGCTTTGAGTAAAAGCTAGCCTTACAGAGCAAGCCTACCAAGGACAGGCATAGATAGGGTGTGTAGCCATAAGCCATCTTTTACTTTTTAAAAGGGGTCCCCAGGGGCTCTGCTAATAATGTGAGAGTCCCCCAGCGCTCATTCAGAACCTCTGAAATGGAATTCAATTTGGAGAAACTGATTTATCACTCAAATTCCAGGCATTATGGGATTCTCAGTTAACCAACTGAGCTTTCGGGGGTTTCCCTACCTTAGGGAAAGGGACTCCGTGGAGAAACTTGAATTCATTCATTCATTCGACAATATTTTTCAAATACAGCTGCCACCCAGCATTTAAATTTGCCATCAACAATCTGCTCCTACCTTGAATCGGACGCCAGTAATGCACCCCTTCCCCTTTTTCAGGAGGGGGATCACAGTAAAACAGGATAAAAATTGATCTCTTGTCAACAGAGCGTTGGCATTAACCAAAGTCACCTCTGTTTCTTAAAGGGCTGAATTTAGAGCTAGCTGCTGCTTAAGAATTCTCTCTTCCTTGACATTACCGAAACCATCGAGGCCTTTTGCAGGGTTTTCTTTGGTCCTCCATGGACTTTGTCTTGGAACTGCTTCAAGGCTTTGAAGAAAGAGGTGCCCACATAATTTCATGTGTACATGTGGCCTTCGCCCTGTTCCCTGTGGGCCCTGAGGCCTGCCCCCTTGGAGGCTCCAGCTGGGGTGGTCAGCAGCACCTGGTGTGAGGGCACAGAGACCGGAAGCAAGGAGCAGATCAGCATCTCTTGATTGTTATTTTTTAGGAAGTTCTGATGGTGACTGGGCAGTGGCGACGCTTAAGTCACCAAAAGGTACCGTACAGCTTTTTCTGGCTCTTTTGTACAGGTGTTGTCGGATTTGACATTCATCAGTGAGGGCACGGTGTCCTGGTGTCTGTGTATGACCCAATGCACACGTGTGTCTGTGTTGGGTGGACCTGCAAGTCCGTCTAAACTCCAGTGTATAGGTGTGTGTGTGTGTGTGTGTGTGTGTGTGTGTGTGTATGGGGGCCCACTGTGGTGTGTCTGTGCTTGGGGCCCATTGTTGAAGAATTACTACTTCTCACTTCCCAGTATATGTTGCCTGAAGGAAAAACCATCCCAGTTAAGACTTCCAGGAAATGTCTCCTTTTCTCGGAAAGCTACACAGACAGAATGGCAAAACACAAGGTAAATTAATGTAGGGGGAACACTCAACTTTGGAGGGAGAGATAAACAAATAAATAGACAGAGAAATAAACATTCCCGGGGTCTTGAGAATAATAAGGTTTTTATGGAACAGAACAGTATTTTCAACTTTCCTCGGGTGCATCAAACGTTAAGGAGTTGGTCAACTTGAGTCTGTTAACTAGCTGGGTAACCAGGAGGTAGTTACAGCTTGTTACCTCCCTAGTACATGCCAGATGAGTGCTCTGTTATCATTTAATTCTCCGATGACCCAGCAGTGTAGGCGTTGTCATTCCCCATAGAGGTGAGGGTGTGGGTGTCTGAGTGAGGATGTCTTGCTTGCCTAAAATCACAGGGCTGCTAAGCTGTCATTTGAACTTGGGTCTGTCTGTCTGACTGTAATGCCTAAGCTGCCCCCCACTGGGGGGTGATGGGAACAGAGGAGAAATTTGGTTCTTTTTCACTCCGGGGGCTCTGTAGGATTGGTGGTGGGAGAACGTGACCCAAGGAGGTGGAGGTAGAACTCTTTAGTGACCTGAACAGGAGCAATTGGAAGGCAGGGCACAAGGCAGGATATTGGCACGGACAAGTTTGCATTCTCAAAAGATCGCTCTGGTTTCCAAGTGGAGACTGAATTAGGAGAAAGTAGACTGGCATTGATGACACCCACTGGGAGGCTCCTGAAGTCATCCAGGGCAGTGACCTGAACTGGTGTGGGCAGAGGAAGGACAGATCATTACGAAGCTGTGGAATATAGTGAATGAGTGCATGTGAGTGGGGAGGAGGGAGCAGAGGGCCCAGCAGTGGTTCTCAGATCTAAGCCATTTGGGCATACGTGCGCACACCCTGGAGGGTTGTTAAAACCCAGAGTCCTGGACCCCACCAGAGATTCAGATTCACCAGGCCTTGGTGCCTCAGTGGGTTGAATTGCTAACAGATTCTGAGGTGACACTGTTGCTTCAGGTCTGAGGACCACACCTTGAAAATCACTGCAGCAGAGAAATTTTGTCTGGAAACTAAGACCCTTTGATTAGGTCTCCAGGTACCCTTCTGGGGGCTGAGGGTTCAGAAGAGAGGAGTCTGATCAGGGTCCCAGAGGCTCAGAAACAACCTGAGCTCTGGGGCATGAGAGCAGAGGGGGCTGCACTGTGTTCCTCTATCAGGAGACAGAGCTTTCCATCCCCGTGTCAAATGAGAATCCCTTGACTACTCAGTTGTTGCCTTGAGAGAGGCAGATTTTTTAGGTCTTGCATTAGATAATAACTGTTCACATGTCAACGTCCATTTTTAGAAATGCAAACAATTTGGAACATGACAGACCTACTAATTTGAGGCATAAACTTTTTTTCCCTCCCCTGCGACAAACAAAGCCATTATGATTCCCGTGACAGTGTTTGGAGGCTGTCAGCATCCCTGTCCTCACATCAGCCTGTTGTTACCGGATGCATTTAGGAACGAGTTCAAGCCAGGTCAAAAGCAAGAGCTTGGGAGCTGTTTTTCTACCCAAACTGGGCTAATTTCACCTGTCCTGCTAAGTGCGCCTTTATTTATCCTGGCTTGTCCAGGGAAGAGAGAAGGGGGCCCAGAAAGGGCCAGGCCACGTTCCTCGGGGCCACAGATCTTCCTGCAGCCTGTGAGCCCTGAGTCTCCAGTCTCCATGAGGTGTGATAACAAGGTTGAGGACTTTGTACAGCTCCCACCTCTCACACCCGCCACCTTCTTCTTCTTCTTCTTTTTTTTTATCCTCACCCAAGGACATTTTTGCATTTATCTTCAGATAGAGCAGGAGGGAGAGAGGGAGCAAGAAAGAGAGAGAGAAACATTGATATGAGAGAGACACATTGAGTGGTTGCCACCCACACGACCCCAACAGGGGTCAGGGACAAACTGCAACCATGGTACATGCCGTTAGTGGGAACTGAACCTGGGACTCTCTGGTCTACGGGCCGAGGATCTAACCACTGAGCAAAACCAGCCAGGGCCCCACCGCTTCTTAGAAAGGGAAACATAAGCAGGATGTGATTGTGATGGGCTTCCCCTCAGACACACCTGGGTTTCTATTCTGGGCCCATCCTGTGGTATTCTTGTTACCTTCAGCAAGTCACTCAGCCAATCTGAGCCCCTATTTCCTGTAAGAATGAGATGAGACACTGTGTACGACACATATCACAGTGCCTGGCATGTGGAAAGTCTATATGCATGAAGGCCATTATTAGTATCTTACTGTTATGAGGTGAGTTAATGAAAGGCTCTGGAAAATCTCGTGGTGACAAAAACTCAGGTTTCGTATAAACCATCATTTTCCAAGCACTTTCAACGTCTGATCTCTTATCTTCAGGAAAACCAGTTAGTATCTGAACATCCGGTGGCAGGAATGTTGCTAGGAACCCACTTTGGGAACATTAGGAATGAGCCCATAAGCAGGCAGAGGAGTGGGTGTTACGTGGGAATGATGGCCAAGGAAGGGGTAGCTCGAAGGAGAAAGGGCAGGTCCCTAAAGGGACACGTTTTCTGCCGTTACCCACATTGTCTTGGAAGGGAACCATATCTGTCAGGACAGGAAGTGACAGATCATACCAGTTGGCACTATTTACCTATCACTCCTAAAGATTTCCCATGCGGGTCGCCCCCTAGTGGTCACGGTGGTTGATCCACCCATGCCCAACCCTGGGAGCTTCCAGCTTATTTGTTTCAAACCCAGGACAGAAGAAACCACCACCACCTCAGCCCAGTGGACTCTTCTAACCAACATGAAGAAAAGCCTCTCAAAATCTGTTTATTTTTCAAAAAGAATCTTCCACGCTGACACTGAACTTGGGGAAAACTGCCAGCACTGTCCAGTGATTCACTCGCTCCGGCTCTGAGTAGAATCAGGCTGTGTGCTCCTGTGCAAGCCACGCACATACTCAGAGTACCCGTTTCTACCATTTCCAAAGCAGAGGCAATGGTGATATCTATCCTCCACCAGGTCTGGGCGAGTAATTGTAGGAGACAATGAAGTAATACACTTCAGTGAAGTCAGTGAAGAAAATACACTTCGCTCAGCTTTTCTGCTTTTTCAGATGAAGAAACTGAGACCCCTGAGATAAATGGTGTTGCTCAGAGTCACACAGGAAAATCACACCACACCCCGGATCAGGACCTAGACTTCAAAGAAAGGCTTAAAGACTGGACCCAAAATTACTGGAGATGCTTGTAGAAGTGTAAATCTCAGGCACACCCGCTCCTAAGGAACTGGAACCACGGCATGAGAGGTCTCCACATTGTTTTTGTTTGGTTTTTAAAACACACCTTCTGGATAATTCCGTGTACACTAAAGTTGGGACCTACTTTTTCTAAGACTCAATCCTAGGTGCAATTTTTCCTTAACCACCAATTTTCACATGCTAGCATTCCTCCAAACATGATTATTTTTGCCGTTTGTGGAAATAAAACTGTTTTCCTGGTTGGGGTTTGAGCTGGGGCTATAGCTGGAAGGTAAGGACGCGGGAGGTGCACAGTCTTGGATCAGCTGTCCTGCTCGGCTACTTATCAGTGGTGACCGAGTCATTTGGCAGCCAAGTTACTTTATATCTCTGGGCCTTGGTCCTCATCTGTCACAGGGAAACATGATTATTTTTTGTCACCTATCTTAAGTGGGTTTAAATGAGATAATGTTGGTGAAATGGCTAAAGCAATGTTTTTACATAGTAGGTACTCAATAAATCTTAAGTTATTTCTTTTGTCCAAGAAAACTGATATAGTTCCGTGGTAAACATTCATCCAAGAAATGCCACAGAAGGCGCAAGGCAAAGAAAACGTGTAATTCGGGTTATAGTTCTGCTGGAGGGCACACCTCCTGGGGCAGAACTCACCGAAATGCAGCCTTAAAACATTACTTCATGAAATTCAGGCTTTTGAAAAATGTTCTGATTTGGGTTATTGGTTTGCTGGCGAGCAGTAGGATACAGAGCAGGTGGAGGGAGGATAGGGAAGTGATGTGTTTTTTTTTTAATAAAAATCAAATCCCCTTAACTCCTGAGTTCGGCCTCTTTTGAAAAGCACACAGCAAGCACTGGAGTTTTGATGAGCTGTCTTGGGAACCTACAGGGGATGAAGTGAGTCCGTGGAAGAGATTCTTCACTTTGCAGAAATTCCATTGCAGCAAGACTGCGATAAGCATTTGAGTAGTTCAAAGGTGTATCTCTCTGAGGCTAAGCCAGCTAGATCTCAGTCATTTCAAACTTCCCCAGCACCTTGCATGGTACCCAGGGCACATCGTAGACACTCAGCATACACTTTATTAGTAAATTATTAAGTGAAGCTGGGCATCCTGTTGTCTTCTCTGAAGAGGCACTGAGATATAGCAGAAAAATCACCCAGACAGAAGTCAGGAGAACTGTATTCTAGACCCAGTGATGCTTTTACCCAGCTGGGTGTCCTTGAGCCCACAGCTTCAGTTGCCTTCCCTACAAAATGCAAGGTTTGGAACACTGATCTCATTAACCCTCTTTATCTCTAGAAGTAAAAGTCCCGGGCTTTGCTCTGATTGGCTTGCCTTGTCATATGCCCACCTCTGAACAAATTGTTGTGGTAAGGATAATGAGATGGTGTTTTTGCAATCACTGGGAAATAACTATGGTGTAGGGGAGTTGGAGGAACATATC